TGATCGTATTGTCTGCAACTCAACTGCAAACAATTCCATCTGTTCTGTCAATACAGTAGCATTGTCAGATTGTGGAGCACCCACCAAGGCCTCCAAACAAGTCACACGATCTCTGAGAGCTTCTGTAGCATTACCACAAGCCATAATGAACCCAACTCTGGGCTCTAATACCAATTGTCATAGGAGTAAATTCTAAATACGAATCTAGTGGCCTGTAATGGCACTAAGCCAGAAATATGAATAACTTTTCTCTAAATTTCTAACTTAGCTCAGCCAACTCACACTTGCTGCCTAGAATACACAACAAGTAAAACACTCTCACACACAAGTATAGTTGCAAGAATGTAAGGACAATAACACCTACGAATTTACAGAAGCACACGGCTTCCAACCTTTTACTATTGTTCACAAAACAATACAAGGAAATGCCTCAACCTGCAGAAGCATACAAGAGTCTCTCACAACACAACTTGGTGTCTCACTCTCAATCTCCACTCTCTACAGAACCCACATTAGCAATATATAGGCAAACTCTCAAAACCGCCCACAACTACCTACTAAAATGGTGGATGACACCCCCATCCACCTAGGGTCGTGCTGGCACCCTCTAAATGTATTAACACTACATATGTAGTTGACAAGCCCAACTGCTAGCTTGTTGGCACGCTCTGCTCATGCCACATGCATGGAAAGTGCTAGTAACTTCCCCCAACTAACTGGGCCAACTTTGTGAACCTAGCCCGTGCCAAGCCCACTAATCTACACCCACATATAAATGTCTCAAAGTGCACAGCGTGCCAAGCCATACACGCCTGTGTGCACGTCCGAGTGCACGCCCATAAGCGCACTGTTGCACGCCGCCACGCACGCTGGTGCTCATCTACACGCGCCATGCCTGAACGCCCGTGTGCATGCGACTGCACGCCCGCGAGCACATCGGGCTGAACCCCTGCCCGTGCGCCCGCCTGGACACCCGCGCGCGCCACTGCTCACTTGTTTGCCATTCGGTAGTTCGGATGCTCCCCTCTTATGCAACCATCTAGGAGTGGTGCAACACGTGCCCATGCACGTTGGCTAAGCCCTCTAAGCAAGCCATGCCATAGCCCAATTGATGTGCTCAACAGACCCCTCCCTAGTATAGTTCTAAGGAAAATCAGCACTTTGACAGGAGTAGACATTACCGATGCTTGAGGAGTCATAATGGCCTTCCAAACCCTTCCCAACATCCAAATCGAGTGACGTCTATGCCAACCATCTTCTATGGACTCAAGGTACCTCCCATAAAAATCCCGAGTCAAAACTCCAAACTTCACTTTTTCGCCATATTTACGAAAATGCCACTGGGCACCCCGAGTGCACACTGACAGCATCCCATGGCTGTTAGGGGGCTTATCAAGGTCCCAACCCCTTAACAATATGTATATAGGGTTAATCTAATTAATATAATTTTAGGGTTTTATATAAATATGAAATCCGTAGCCGACTTATATATTTTTAGTTTATATTTTATTTTCTTTCTTTTTGCTTTTCTGTTTCCTCTTAGAATTAGAATTAGGTTTTGCATTAAGCTTATATAAATATAACATTATGTCTGCTCAGGGTTTAGAAGCAACAAACCCATTTCACGAATAGTGAGGTCTGATCGAAAAACAGAGAGCAAAAGCTAGGGTTTTGGCTAAGGGAAAGGCCGGACCAAGGAGGAATAAAGAGGGTCTACTTATGGAATAGAACCAGAGCAATAGAAGGTTTGACGACAATCATAGGTCACCAGAAATTCTAGGCAGAAGACGGTTAAAGGTTTCAAATCGAAACCTATAGGCAAGTTCTATTTCTTGCTCTCTCCCTTTGACATGTGTTCTGTGCATGCCTAGATAATCTCTAGGATTAAATCGAACTTTAAAATTGAACTGTATGCATATTAATTTAGATTTTTAACAGAATTATATGTTGTTACTTGAAACTGATTTATCGAATTAGTTGTTTCATCGATTGTAATTATAATTGCTATTAATGATGCATATTGTGTTATTATGTGTTCTGGGATAATTTGGGACATAAACAGACCTCTGGGAACCTAAACAAAACATTATAGAGGGTTTTTATCATTGTCAGAGGTGAGGAAGATGATAGGAAGTAGGGGTAGAGCCGGCTCTCAAAGGGTAGGAGCCTGCTCCCCTTTATTTTTAGGCCACAGCTCTTTGTGAGAAAGAGAGCCGACTCCATGGGATTAGGGAGCCAGCTCCCTAGGTCACAGAGCCTGCTCCCAAGGTAGGGGGGCTAGCTCCCTTGTGTAGGAGATTGCTCTCTCATTTCTGAGAGCAAGCTCTTTTGCACAGTTACTTACTGGAATTTCTTTTAAAGCACGGTTTTGATTTTTTTTGAGATTTCAGGACTGTCTTGGGTTAGTAAAAGGGATTCTAAATTATTTTCACGACATATTAGGATCCCATGATGCATAATCTTTATCTTTATGCTATTGATTTGAACAGTATGAGAGTTTAAACAAGTTTGCATGTTGTTATCGAATATAAGGGATCGATTTAAACTGCTTCACTTTATTTTAGCAATTTAATGGACTGTAATATGATTTTTAAATCTGTATTGGATGCATAATAGGGTCATCTACTTATTAAATTTTATTATGCTTATTTTGGATTTTAATTGATAAATCATTAAATGTTGTTCTGTCAATTACATGGATGTTATTCTGGATTTTGAATTGATGAACTGTTTTATCTGTTTTATCAATTAATGGATTGATTGTGGATTATATGCACTAAAATGGGACGGTGGCATATTAGGTACAGGTTAGTTCAAAACGCTAACTCCTACTTATTCTGGATTTTAATTGTTGAACTACTTTATCTATTTCATCAATTATTGGTTTATTTTATGAATTTTATGCACCAGTATAGGACGGTGGCATATTAGGTGTGGATTAGATCAAAACACTAACTCATACCTATTCTGGATGAAGAAAATGGATTTAATTAAAACATTTAAATTCTACTTATATATCGTATCTTGGCAACGAACAGTTGACCAACACTACATTGGTTTCAGATGGAATTTATATATATAATTATGGTACTGCGATATGAGTTTGAGTCTCAGAGTCGATGGTTAGGGCGCGCATATGCAGTAGGATGCGTAGCTGACTATGATGGTGAGGGTATACCCTGTTAGGCTTAGGTACTCATGCCCACTCAGGTGCATTTTGCATGTTGCCTTCTATTCAGGTTGAGACCACCCTTCATAGTCCAATGAGAGTCCCTTAGTGTGGATATATATATATATGTATGGACTAGATAAATATTATTGAGTTATCTAGGATGTATCTGCGTATCGGGTCTCTGTTTGGATTGTAGTTAGAGTAGAACTTGTTCGTGAGCCTGACCCATTATTATTTTTCAGGTATCGGACGATTCTAATCTTAGAGCTTGTTCGTGCTGAGCAGAGACGGTCACTCATCCTTCCGACTGCGTAGGACTGCTATTTATATTTAGTTTTCGATTTCCTTTTTAGTTAGTTTATCTTCAATTGGGTTTTGAATAGGGGTCCACTAGATGGATTCCCGAGTTAAATTTGTATTGGAGATTTGGATGTACCAGAATAGTTCTTATATATATAATTTATTCTAAGGATTTCATTATTGGATTAGCACATTAGTTTTCTTTCAGTAATTTTATTTATTCTATTTATCCTATTTGTATTCTGTGTTCGATTATTGCCATTTGTTTTGATAGTCTCGGGTATTCGGGCGTGGACCTAGCCAACCCGCATCCGGAAATCTAGGGGTATCACAATCCCCTTCTCTGAGCCAGTCTGAGCCAGTGGACTTGTGACCTTTGTTTGTAGAATATTTCTTCAGCTAATACAAAGTCATTAAACTTTCTTGATAGTACCTTCTCATCAACTCTGATGTTGTCATTGGCTAGGTTGGAATCAAGGTTTCTTTGATAAAGGAAAAGCTATTCTCTACATGATGCCACCCTCTCAGAGAGTGCACTGAATTCCTTTCTATTTAGCATTTTGAGAGGCTGCTTAAGAGCTCTAAGCTTTTGAACCAGTGAAAACATTCTTGAACCATGAATTTCCATTTGTCAAACATTGGCAAGAATGGCTAAAAAAATTAGGATGAAGTGCCCAGAAGTTAAAGAACTTAAAGGGCAGGTTCCTCTTGGGAGCAATTGTTCCAAAGGTAATAACCATTGGAGAGTGATCAGAGACTCCATGGGGTAAGAATTGGCATTCAGCCTGTGGGAATTTAACCATCCAATCTTTATTAATAAGAAATATTTGCACACCCAAAGCTGTCATTAGACCATGTATGAAAAATGCCCCTAAATCTTAGGTCTTCCAAACCATTTGAGGTCAGGAAATCTTTAAAATCTAACATTCCAGGTGTCCATCTCAAAGTTCCACCATAGGAATCATTAACATGACAAAACATTGAAATCCCCAAGAAGAATCCAAGGCTCATTAGGCAATGAATGAAGCTTTAGATGCCTCCAAAGGGCTCTTCTCTCCACTATAGTGTTTGCAGCATATACAAAAGAAGCCCCACACCTCAGTTTCAGGTCTCTGAGGAAAACTGAACAACTAATTGCTTGACTGCATTCATTTGAGGATAAAATATCAATCTTGAGTGGATCCCATAGAATCCAAACTCTCCCTAGAACCGAGGTTGTGTAATTGCACTTAATCTGCCGATGGGGAGCAATGAATCTGTGAATTGCAATCACCCTATCACTGCAAACTTTGGTCTCCAAAATTGTTATAAGACATAAACCTGAATCCTTGATGAGGAACCTAATCTCTTCTTGTTTGAGGGGAGAGTTCAACCCTCTAAAGTTCCAAGCTCCCCAAATCATTGGGAAGAAGATTTGAGGTTACACATACCCCTATACCCCTATACCCCTTTAGGGTAGTCAAACCTTTAGCCTTCTTTGCCTTCCTTTCAATTTTAGAATGCTTAGTGTGAACTGGTTTCCTTGGTTTCAGCAGCCTTTCCACTGCAGGAGAAAAGGTTGGATCATTGCTACTGGAGAAGGTTTCCCCCTCTGAAGAAGATGCCAAATCCACTGAGTAATTATTATCAATGTTGAGATTGTCCTCTGGGGGAATTCAAACTGGTTTGAAACAACTGCTGTTGTGGGTGAGGTAACTAGTTTTTTCCTGCTGGTTTTGAGATTAGAGGGTGAGAGGTCTATGACAAAATTAATGGCTTTCATATTGGTTGCAGTGGATAATGAATGGTCATTAACAAGAAGACGGATAGGGTTAGGCAATGGTGTCAGTGCAGTTTGGTTACTGGAAATGGGGACATTGTTTGTGTTGGCAACATTCACTTGAGGCTGAGTTACTGGTAACATTTTAATAGCTCCTGAGGTGGATGCAGAGTCATGATTAAGCTGCTGTTTAGAAGGTGGAAAAGGGTTAGGGATTTGGTGGCATTTTGATCTTCATTTACTTCTTGTAACAAGCTGCCAAGAGTTTAAGTCTGGTGGAAAATTCAGTGGAGGCTCTGATTCCATATGCCCTGCACAACATTCCTCGGAGGAGTACCCAAAAAGAAGACATTTGGCACATTTATGTGGGATCCAAGGGTATTGTACCCTCACATTTTCCATCCTATCCCCCAAATTCACTTGAAATGAGGCTGGTAGTGGGGAAACAGGTGAAATTTCAACACACATGCGTACATAATCAACTCTACTTCTGTTCTTAGTGTTCTCATCAACAAAGAGGGGCTTTCCGACAGCACTGCTCATATAACTTAAGCCTGTGGCAGACCAATATTCAAAAGGTACATTGAAGAAGCTACTCCAAATTGACATGGTGGTTGGTGAATTTGAAGATTTTGGAGCCTCTTGCTCCCATAGTCGAAGAGACACTGGCTTCCCTGCTAAGTACCATTGACCTCCAGCCAAAATTTTCTTACAACAATCCATACTATCAAAACGAAAAAAGAAGGTACCTTTTGAATTAGCGGCCACCTGCTTGAGTCCTTTATGCTCCCAAAGCTTGGTTGCATTTGCAGAGACAGGCTTAAAAGACATCCTTCTTTAAAAGGAACCAAGTAGACAACATTGCCAGTAGTGAATACCGTGCAATTTAGGTTCCTCAGGAGGATTCACCAATACTGTGTCATCCTGCAAGGATGGTTCATGGTATTGCAATTTCCAGGTTGACTCAGCTGAAGTTGCTATTGCAGACAAAGATGGCAGATGCTGGATATTGGTTGGGTTAATATGCTCATTTTTTTTAGGGTTCTTGTCTGTGGAGTTGTGTTCTGCATGGGGATGACAAGTTTCATGAATTAATGGTTGGGTGGGTATTAGATTTGGCTGTGAGTTTTGGGGGTGATCTTGGGGTAGGTTTACGTGAGATTCATTTTGGGGAGCTGTGGGCACCAAGTTCAGGTTCATTGGGTTTGGATTGTTGTAGTTAGGAAGTAACTGGGAGGGTTCACTTTGAACTTGTTGTGACAGGATCGGTACTGTTGTGACGTGAGAGTTTCAAAGTAGGTAGCGTGTTTGCATGAGGGCTTGCAGGAGTGATCTCACCATCTAAAGATTTGGACTCATTTCCGAAGGAATTTGAATTCAAAAAACTGCCCTTCACGTGATCAGCAGAAGACTTTTGACCAGACATACAAGCATCGTTGACCATCCCCGCCGGCGCCGGAGCAGAGTTGTTAGATCACCGTGCTGCTTCAAGCTCTTCCTCATTTGCCCTGAGCTCTTGCTCCTTTATCTCCAGCAGTCCTTGGACTCTGTTAACTTCCTTCAGTAACTCAAATTTAGAAGCTTCCATGATAGCAGCATCAATCCCTTCAGGTAGATAAACCACATCCTCCACTTCCTTGTTGCCCGAATTGAGTAAACGATCCTGTTGCAGAACATTCTTGATCCTTGTGAGAGTGGCACCCGTAACTGTAAGAGGTCGAGGTCTGAAATGAGCAGGCAGGGGTGGACGTTGAGGCGTGATAATGGTGTTTGCTTTGTCTGTGTTGTTTGAATCAATTTTCTTCTTGAACTCCAGTAACAATGGGGATTTGGATGGAGGTCTGGGTGGCTTAAGTGGGATGTGTGCAACCGAGTTAAGCTTGGATTGGTTAGAGCGTGGTGTTGTCTGAACGTTAGCAGGGGAGATGAATGGGGGTTTGAGGTGATTTGGTGGTCGGTGGCGAAGCTTGGGGTGAAAGTTCTCAGGGTTCGCCGGGTTCCTCATTCTCTCTTATTTATTTAGCTTGTTCCATCATAAGTCATAATATGAGGAACAAAGTTGTGATAGTCTTCTTGCTGTTTATTTTTTGATAATTTCTTTAGCTTTTCCCATCATCAATTTCTTTCTTAGATTCATCTAAATTCAATTATTCAATCCATAATTCTTGCATTTTTTTATAAACAAGTCACGATATTCTTAGAGAAGACGGAAACAAAGAGAGAGAGCTGTGTGAATGTTTTTTGCTGTTCATTTTTTGATAATTTCTTTAACTTTTTCATTCATCAATTTCTTTACTAGATTCATCTAAATTCGATTATTCAGTCCACAATTCTTTCCCTGCAAGATTGTATTCTTTCTAATCTTCCTGATTTTTCTTCTGGGTGAATCAGTCATACACGTGTATGCCTGAAATTCTTCTAATTTTCTATTGATTTCTTTGAAGTATCTATGGAGGCTGTATCAAATTCATCTCATGGCAATTTGTGAAAAGTGGTGGCCAAAAAATTTGATGGTTGCAATTCAGCCTAATGCAATCAATCAGACTTACCCTTAATTTTGATGGATTTGTGTCCGACCTATAGATTATGGGTTTGTTAAGAATGAATCAAAACGTACCATTAGCAGCAAACTTGATTGAATTCGTAGCTAGGGAGGCTGTGTTTCTTAGTTCAGTGATTTTTCTAGGAAAGATGGAATTAATCTTTAGCAATTGTATTTTGCTTTGCTTCTGGTTATGTGATTAAGGGACGCCAGTGAATGCCCTTCACTCTCTTTATTCGTTTTTTAACAAATAAACACGAATCGAGCATGAGCTGACAATTCAATTCATTTACATCCTTACTTGTAACTAATGCGAGGAAATGAGCTCGTGATATGGAGGTCATTAGGGCTGGACTATAGTATTTGGATGAATAAAATGGGGCTTTTTTAATGGTATATTGAGCTCCTCGGTTTGGTTCCTATGGGCCTGGCTTTTGTTAGCCGAATGGGCTTTGATTTAGGGTTTTGGGGTCATAGTCCCCCACCCACCCCTCGTTTTTGTACATCTTTTATTATTTATACCACCGTCACATTATCCACACTTGTTCGAAGGAAAAAAAAAAAAAAAAAATCATCCAAAGTTGGTGATAAGGCAGACGAGAGGTTCAGTGGTTTTACTGTAATTATTAAGACTTGGGACGCGCTTTCATTTTCGCGTTGGGGAGAAGTTTAATTGGAGGTTCCTCACGGGCTTAGAGTTTCAGTACCACTCTAGCTGCTCCCGTGCGGCACCAAGACGTTGCTTTCACTCTCGCAAGTACTTGGTCAGCCTAACTCCCGTGCACACCTTAGCCAACACACTCCCCTCGTGCGCTTACTAGTGTTGTAGTTGCCCTCGCCCTCTCCTCACTTGGCTTGCACACTCACACACACTAAGGCACTTAAGTTGGCAAGGAAAGAACACTTCTATTACTTCAAAGAATGCTTTGTACAAGGCTAGCACTCAAGCTCTCTACAAGGCTCTCAAGACTTACTCTAGGACTTGTTGGTTGCAAAATGAAGTCCTACTCCTATTTATAGGCATCCCCATCCCTAATGGATGGCTAGGATGCATTTTAACCAACGATGGAGATTGATTCTCTAGAATCTTCTTCCACCTTCTACACATCTCCATACATATCTACAACATTCTAGAACCCTCCATACTACTCGACACAATTCTGGAGAATTCTAGAACCTTCCACACACCTCTAGAATATACTACACATATCTAGAATCTTCCACACAACTCTAGACTACTCCGGAAGACTCTAGAAACTCCACTTGCCATGCAGTTGCCATACAGCGTCCTCCTCAGCGTCTGCGTGTCGCCTGCGTGGCACAACCTCCATAGGCGGGGCGTGACATTCTCCCCCACCCATTTCCGTGATGCCCTCGTCACGGTTTCTTCAGCTGACCCAGCCTCTCGCAGGTCATCAGCACTTGCGCATATGTCCTTGGCCCAAACGTACGAGCGCCCTTCGGGAGATGTGAAGTCCTCACGAGCTCCATCGTGTTGACTGCCACCTCTGGACTCTCCTTCCTGCCCACGAGCGACACCATACATGCGGCCTTGCCTTCCTCGCCTCCAAGTATCATCAACGCACCGAGGCATGGTAGTGGCGCGGCGTTGTTCCTGTCCATGAACTCCAGCCCCAGCACCATGTCGTGGTCGTCCATCTCCGCAACTTGGAAGTCAGCCTTGCCCTTCCATCCTTGCATGCATAGTTCCACCTCCTTGCACACTCTACTCACGCGTGCCTCCTCGGAGTTGACGGCCTTGATCCAGCCCTCCGTCTTGCGCATCTCCAAGCCAAGTCGTTGTGCCTCCTCCGAGGTAATGAAGTTGTGTGTAACACCCGTGTCTACCAACGCTTGCACGGCTTTGCCACCAACCTGCGCATCCACATAGCGCACCCCAGCTACCTTCTTTGCCTTGCCCTTCTTCTTGGTGTCATGCGCCATGCTACTCAGCATCTGCATAGCCCCCATGCACCTATCTTCATCGCTGCCCGCATCGTCCACCCTGCCCTTGCCCTTATCCTTCACAAGGGCGCTCATGGTCTTCTTGTTGGGGCAGTGTCGCAATATGTGCGGCCCTTCGCACAAGTAGCACTTCGGCTCCCACTTGCCCTTATCGCGGCGCTCCCCTTTGCCACTAGCCTTAGACCTTTCTCCATGGTCCTTGCCTTTATCATGGCGTGGGCGTCTCTCCTCATCGCTATGCTCATCATCACTAGACTTGGGCGAGCCCCGTTTCTTGAAGCGCCGGTCTCCCCCACCTTTGCCGTGGTCCCTCCTGGGAGACGTGGCCCTCTTGTCATCGCGCCTAAAGTCTTCGAGGCGCTCCGCTATAGCCATTGCGGATGCCAAGTCTCTAGGCTCCCTCCTCCTTAGCTCCGTGGCCACCCAAGACTGCAGCCCATCAATGAACAAGCACACACGTTGCTGCTCCGGCATCTCTGGGATCTCCAGCATCAAGTTGGAGTACTCCTTCACATACTCCCTTATGCTGCCCTTCTGCTTCAGGCGCCTTAGGTTGATCATGGCGAGGTCCTCAACGCACTCAGGGTAGAACTGCCTCTTGAGCTGCCTCTTGAACTCCTCCCATGTATCAACTGCTCTTGCGCCCCTACCGGTGAAGCGCTGTCTCCACCATAGAGCGGCAGTGTCCGTGAGGTACATAGTGCCTGTCTGCACCTTCTCCTCATCATCCTCGATCTCTATGCACTCGAAGTACCGCTCCATGTGCCAGAAGAAGTTGTCAATCTGGCGAGCATTCCTTGCCCCATCGTACTCCTTGGGCTCCGGCGCCTTCTTCTTCCTTGGCTTCACCACGACCTCGCGCGCCTGGGAGAATTCCTTCTTGCACTCAGCAATCTCCACGCGCAAGTCGTCTACCAGATCATGCAAGTCCCTTTCCTTCTCTCGCGCCTTGTTGGCAATGCCGTCAATCAGCTCGTAGAGTTCCGCCATCTTTCTCTCGAGCCTGTTAAACTTAGTCTCCGTGTAGACCAAGTGTGTGGCAAGCTTCTCCTCCAAGCTCTGCTCTAAGATGTGGACTTGGCGGTCTCCTCCGCTAGCCATGTCTACTCCAACAAAGCTCCCTTGACGAACCTGGCTCTGATACCAACTGTCACGGGCTTAGAGTTTCAGTACCACTCTAGCTGCTCCCGTGCGGCACCAAGACGTTGCTTTCACTCTCGCAAGTACTTGGTCAGCCTAACTCCAGTGCACACCTTAGCCAACACACTCCCCTCGTGCGCTTACTAGTGTTGTAGTTGCCCTCGCCCTCTCCTCACTTGGCTTG